ATAAAAACCTGACCCTGCTTACAAAGACACATAACTGTGTGTTTTTAAAATAAAAGCAGGCTGAAGCTGACTAAAGCCTCTTCTTTTAGTTCTTGGAGTAAATTGCCGTTAAGGACAGCAGGACCTTGAAAAATGACAGCATCCCCCGCCTCTCTTTTTGTTGCTCACTGATGTGTAATTGAAGAAAAATGCTAGCTGCTGTTTGTTTGGCAAACTTGATTCTTTGTGGTCTGGTTCCAGTGTCGCACAGAGTTTGATTATGTGGTTAAAATCAATTAAATGGTTTGCCCAGCGGGAGTAACCACTGCAAACAAACAAACAAACGAAAAACTCTAAATGGCATGACTGACTTAGTATAGCTGTAACCGATCCACAAGAAACTGATCCAAGTCCTGGAGACATGCAGAACCGTCTCCTCGTGAAAGGGTCATTTTTATAGTTCCACCGTGGGCACTGTGACTTACATACATGACAGATACCAAGTGAAAAAAAAGATTAACGCTTCCATTTATTGCACCAAAAAACCCAAAACGTATCCGTCTTTCAAATCATCCTCTCAGGACAGGACCTGTTCACTCCTATACTGCGCGCATGAATCTTTATTTGGTTTGGATATGCTTGTGTTGTTCTACTTTGTATTAACACCAGCCAATTTATAATGAATTGGGTTAGGAGTTTAAATCAGGACAGGATCAAATCACTTAATATGAAAAGATAATAGAGATAAAAGATGGATTCATTTATGTTTTTCCTTACTAGGTTTAAAATCCTGAGGTCAGTAGCTGTTTAGTTCTGCTAAACCCAAGAAGACAGGAAAAGAGCCTTTCAACTAAATGCATGTTGACACAAACTTAACCTTTCCTTTGAGTTATATTTAAAGTTCAAGGAAAATATATTTTTTTCATGACTATTCATATGTGTATTTGTTTTCTTTTACTATAACCAAGAAGTACTGCATAATCCATAATTTCCCTAGCGATTAATAAAGTATTCTGATTGCAAAACCTCAGTGGAATTGTAGTTTGTCCTTGACAAAGGATAGGAACGCATAAGCGTTGCTGCACAGCACACAGAGAGCTTTTTCAGTCAGTTTAATTTCAGAAAGTTTCATTTAATCTTAGGCCAGAGGTTTCTCAGGTCGATACCTTCGGCTCTAAGATGAAACCTCCCCCTGCCGTGTGTTTGGCTCCTTTTTCTCTCATTGTTGGACAGCAGGGGCTAAAAGGACTCATTTGATGTTGAAGGTTGTTGACCTGGTCTAGACAACACCTTGGTCTTTGTATTGCTGTAACCCACATCCCAAAGAAATGAACAAACACAGCTACTGGCTCGGTCACACTACAGCGAAAATAGGACGGTAAACTCTTTCTGACTTTGGGGGAAAAAAATATTTAAAATTCTGGTGGTTGCCCAATGATTGCTTTCAATATTTTTGCTGACAATGACAGATGTCAAGAGTT